CTTCAAATTCCTTTGTTTCTTTGTTTAAATGTATTGTATATGTATACATTTGCAAATCAGTCCTTTAACTGAACTCGCTGAGCAAATGTTAAAGAGGACATCTATAAAATTCAGACATGTTAATTTTAAATTGTTTTACAGCAGCAATTAAATACATCTGCTTAATTGTTTTTTAATTTTTTTTTTAAACTTGCATCATATAGTCATCACTGGCTTTACTCTGGAAAAGCAGAAACTGAACTGAAAATATGTATACATCTGAAAGAAGATGCTCTTATAAACTGAAAGAGGTGGAGCTGATAAAATAAAGACGTGAATAATCTTGCAAAAATATTCTTTCTTTTTTCCTTTTAGAAACTGGTGAGTGAGGTTATCTTAAATGGTTGAAAGCATAGTCAGAATTTAATTATGCCCATTACATAAATGAATCACAGCCAGTATAACCTGTTTTTTGAGCAAGGATCAGAACACATAGTGAGTGTCAAATCTTACCCAGCTCTTAAAGATGTTGGGTCAAGCTTTTGGACAAAAATGTCCAGGAAAAATATGAACCATTAAATGTCTCATGTTTTACTGACCTTTTGATTTCACAAATAGGGTGTATTGCTATGCTATGGTACCCATTCAAAGAAGGTCTTTTTAATGCAGATTGTTAGTTTTTTCATAATTATTCATTCCTCCTTTTGATTTTTATCAGAGGTAGCCAGTATAGCTTTTCTGAACATGCACTTGAAGCATAAGAATACAATAGTATGTTTTGAATAATTTGCATACAAACTTGAGGCGCAGTCCTTGAATCTAGTACTGTTGAAGTATGCATTACAATATATAAATTAAGAGCTTACTTATGCAGTGGTTAAACTAATTAACAAAAACAAAAGATAACAAAAAAACCAAACAAGTTTTGCCACACATCTGTAAGTTCAGTTGTACCCAGCATATATAGCAGTAAGCTACTCTTCCCTCTTCTACATTTCATTAAAATTGTTTTACGCTATTTTATAGTCTATATTTTTCTGTACTGTTACTCTCTATGTGGTAATGTTACCTTTAGTGTGTCCTAGCATAATTATTAGGCCTGTGTGAATAGGGAAGTATTCAATTTTGATTCAGATTTGGCCGATTCAAAGGACAGTGATTCAATTTGGAGATTCAGATCACTGTCCTGAATCAACTCGGCCAAATGAGCTTCAGAAGATTCAGCGCTGATTCAGAGAGATTCAGTGATTTGGATTAGCCGGGGAGAGGCAGGCACAGCCAAAACAAACAAACAAAAAAAAACAAAGCCCCACACTCACCGGCTGCAGCAGTGGCAACTGGGGCCTCTGGGCACTCATGGCAGAGCCCATGCTTGCTCAGTGGGGGGGCAGCAAGGATCCCCCCCCCCCCCCCGCTTGGCACCCACACAGTAGCTGCCCCATGACACGGGTGCAGCATGGCTCGGCAGGGTGCTGAGCGCTGCCTGGGAGCTGGGGCTGTGTGCTGCCAGGATCTAGATGACAGGTGGAGCTACTGCAGCTCCCAGACAGCATGTGGCATGTTACCGAGCCACACTGCACCCATGCCATGGGGCACCTGCTGTGTGGGTGCCAAGCAGGGAGCAATCCCCACTGCCCCATGCTGCATGGGAAGATTCTGCCATGGGTGCCAGGGGCCCCAATCACCACTCCTGCAGCTGGTGAGTATGGGGCTTTTGAAAAGTGCTGGGACTAGGTTGGGGCTGGGCAAGGGATGGGGTCAGGCAGAGCAGCCACGACTCCTCCAGCTGTGCCTGCCTCTACCCTGGCAGGGGGAGCCATGGGGGCTCAGCCCTGCTGCTGCTTGCCCAGCCAGGGTGGGGGGGGGGTTGTGATGCAGGTGCAGCTCTCCGGGGGGCAGCAGGGCATAGCCCCTGCTCCCAACGCTGTCGTGCCCACATCAGCACCAGGACTGGGGGCCATGCCCTGCTGCTGCTTGCCCCCTTCTGCATGGAACAAGCTGTGCCCACATCTTGCCTCCCCTGCCCCCATCCCAGTGGGCAAGCAACAGCAGGGCAGAGCCCCCACTCCCAGTGCTTCCATGCCCGCATCCTGCAGTACTCCTGTTCCTCTTCCCAAGTAACATGCCCCCCTGCCCTGCCTGGGCAGCTCGTCCCAGCCCCAAATCCTCCCTCTCCCATGCCCCCTCTCTCCCCCTTTCCCCCCCACAACCCCAACAGACTTACCAGATGGAGGCAGCTGTCAGCTGCCTGTTTAGTCTATGGCCAAATCTCTGAATTGGCTGAAACTTTTTTCCGAAGCTTTTCCAAATCGATTTGGATGCTTTTAATTCGGAGCTCATATTTGGTCTCCCAAGTTGATTGGATTTGGAGATTCGGTCCCCAAATCAGGCTGAATCTCCTCTGAATCAAATCAGCTACCGAAGCTTTGCGCAGGCTTACTAATTATTACAATGCCAGATGACCCATGATGCATCTGAATTTCATGACATGTCTTAGAAAAGCTTGCAGTTTTACATTAAAAGCTTGAACTAGGTTGCTTTTTGTAAAACCAACACACATTGCACGGCATGATGCAGAAAACAGAGATGGCCAAACTCAATGTTAAATAGCTCACTGAAGGAGTGTTGAAGTACCTTGTTACAGTTTATCTTTTTAAAGTTGGTATCACAGAAACCTAATTGGACAGTACTGAAGTCTTATTTTAATGCCAACCTATTATTCTTATCAGCCTTCAAAATCTCAATCTGATTACTTCTGTTCTGTATATATCATCTTTAAACATAGATTGTCACAGGGACTGTACAGTGAAGAATATTAGAGATTGAAATACTTTTAATTGAAAATTGCCTCTTAATGTAAAGCTTTGAAATTTTAATAAGCCCTGAAATCTAATGCAAGCATCTACCATGTCAGATTAAATTCTGAATTATATCTAGTTGCAAGGTGGCTTATATTCTGTTGCTGTCTTGTGTCAGTCAACTTGGGTATGTCCATACAGCTTTGCCGAAGTAGAGATTAGGTTTGGTTGTACTCAGAGGTAGAAGTTTTGGGAGCCTATAGGCACAGACAGAAGTGCAACTTCCAGGTGTAACTCAAGGTGCTTCACAGGAAGTGCCGTGAATTAGACCAATCCTCCTGACCCAATAAACGTTAGCTGTTGGGTTGGGATGGTGAAAGATCCAGCTCCAATTTGGAGCCAATCCAGGGAGAAAGTCTCTGCAACCTCTTCCCCTAACTCCTCCCCCCCTCCCCCTTCCAGCTACCATTCTGTTTCAGAATAGGCAGGGGAGGGTGGGCCCACTTCACCCTCTCCCCCTCCCCCATGCAGCACTGGTTGGGAGTGCCCCCCAAACAAACTCCTTTCTGCCCCTCTGATTCTACAAGCAGCATCAGGAGCAGGGCTGGGCTGTGTCAGCTGAGCCCTGCTCCTAGTGCACCCAGACACCTGTTAATGAAGGTGCTCCTCTTTGGAACGCCTTCAGCAGAGCCCACGTGTAATGAGGGTACAGATTGTTGTGGGATCGGGCCTTTTTAAAGCGCTCTGCAGCCATGTACTTGTTTGGTCACAGCTGTAGAGCACTTCCAGGGGCCAGTTTGGGCAAATTTGTCACTTCCATCCGCACCTTTTATGAGACTTCACTTGTGAAAACTTTGATATTCATGGACTTTCAGGGTTGTGGGTAGAGAGGGAAGGAAGAGAGGGAGCTTGAGGATAGCACGTTTACACTTTGGTTGTTTATATCCTGGGCCTTTGGGATTGTTCTCCCTTTTACTCACCATTTAAATGAAAAATGATTGCATCACAAAAGATCCATGTATTCTCATCCTAAAAGCAGGTATCAATTTGGACATGTTAGGTGAAGACTCAATAGAATGACTCAAAGGTTAACTATACGCATCACCCTTTCTGTAGATATTAAATATGGGAGAAAAACCTTGTGTTTCTAGAAAAAAAAATACTTTGTCAAGTATTGTGGCTTTCGGCAAGAAAAGAGGATATATTTACAACTATAAAAAAAAAAAAATGTAAAAGCTAGAAAATATAGAATTTTTTTAGCACTTTTATTTCAATTTTATCATGCTTTGCACATGATGCAGTAGTGGATTATTTATAATATAAAATAATAGTTACTGTTCCAAATGAGCGTAATTAATGATTGATGGGCTCACACTGAAGGTGACTGGAATGTTGTTGTGTTTTTAAATAGCTAACAACTAACTAGCTAACTAGTTTATAAGAACATCTGCTCTCAGTTTTTATGAAGGATGTCATGGATTGCCTTCCAGGGGGTGCTTGCTTGAAACCCTTGAGGTCTTGTTTAGTTTCTGGGAGTACTCCTTGAAGCCAGACCAGACTTGGTTTCTGGAGTATGGGGGGAGCCTGAGCTCCTTCCCACTTACCTCTTACCTTTTAATCTTCTTTCCATGGCCCTTGACACCAGAAGTAAGCAACTGGTTCCACCCCTGAGAGGGACTTCACCTCTTCCTAGGTTGACCCAGCACAACCCATAGCTCCAAATATAACAGCAGACAATTACTTCAGTAAAGGCATTTACTGGGGCAAAGGCTGGTTATCTACAAGTTCTCTGTCCCAAGGGGGTTAAGCAATCCCTCTGTCCCCAATCCAACCTGAACAACCCTGAGCACCCCCAGAAATACTCAGTTTGTTTAAACAGAGTAATTCAAGGTTCTGCTGTGCTAAAGGTGTATCTGGTCTTATCTTGCATATAGTCAGCCCTTGCACTTAACCTCTGTATAGAGGCTAAAGAGGTAAACTGAGTCACTATTATAACAACAATTTGAGAATAGTTAACACAGAAATATCACAATAACTTATACAGTTCCTCAGAGGCATAAAGAAGAAACTAATTTCTCTGAAAGTTTAACCTTTTGTTGATTTATAATATCTTAAATGAACTCTGTGGATCAGCTCCTGGATACAAGATTCTGTATCTCTCAACAGTTTTTCTATTGTCCCTTTTTTTCAATGCAAATTAACACCTAATTATTTTCTTTGTAGGCAGTTACTGGGAAAAGTTTTGGAACCAAAAGCTTTCGAGCAGCTCTAGAAAATGGAGTCCTGTTGTGTGAGTGAGTATTGGTTTCTTTAAAGTAAAAGTTCCATAGGTCAAATATGTTTACTAATAAAGATAAATTTATATCACCTGTTCACCTGGTTTCCTTGGTTGCAAACTATTTATTGGAATAGATTATATGGATTGCTCCTTAGCCCCAGGCCACACTCAGTTTTGGAACAGTAATACTCTCAAAGTATCACTTGTTATACTTGGGTGACTCTCTAGCAAACAAACCTTATGGACAAAACATATGGGGAAGATGAACTTTTTAATGCTGTCTGCTCAACTGCCTGGACTACAGTGCTTACGGTGTAATTGGGCTTGCTCCTCAAGTATCTCATTTTATACCAAGTGAGGATGTGGCCAGAACTTTTAGTTGCCTTGGTATAAAAAATAGTGTGTATATACAAATATTCAATTGTTTTTTAAATAGCATGTGCTTTGTGAGTATGAGTATCTACTGCAAAACTGCAGGCAGTAACATGGTTTTATGAATCAAACTATGGCTCTGCATGTTTTTGTGTTGGCAAGGGGTAATGCAAATTAACCCATTTCTGGCTTCATTTCATTATTGGGATCAAAACAAGTCATGTCTGGCGTTCAACTATTTGTAGATTTTTCTGCCCTTGGCTCTCTCTAAAACATGAATTCCATTTACCTGACTTGGGTTGACTACCAGGGTGAGCTGGAAGGATAGAACATCACGGGGTTTTTCCCTTAAGAAACAAACCAACTCCCATCCCCCTCCCCCAAACCCTCACTCATTAAAGCATGATTCCAGGCCCTCTGTTAGCATCAATCTCCAATGATTTTTATAGGACAGGAGTAAATTAATCAAAATGCCACCAATACAGCAATATCTTGGTGGAGAATATTTATAAGTAGCCCTTTCTTTACACTTCAGAGTAAATGGAGAGTGGCAGTTAGCCATATTAAGCTGAAGTCATGTAGAATCAGTTAGGCTATAACTGGGACAGGCAATTATTTCGGGTGGAGGGTTGCTTAACAAGGTTTGGTGAGCTTTTGAGGTCTGCATGGGTAGCCCTGCCGCTTGATAGTTGCCTTGCCCCCGGCCACCACCTTGGGCCACAACCTTGAAAGTCCCTTTCCTTGCCCCCCAGAAATACTCCTTTGGGCGGGGGGGGGGGGGGGCCCTCTTGGGACCAAAAAAAAAAAAAAAAAAACAAACCCAAAA